GGGGACGGACGGACACGGGCTCCTCCAGCGAGTAGGGGTGCTAGGGGATTGCCCAGGCTGTCCTTAAATACTGAGCTCGGGTGAAAGGGGTTTTTTTTTTTTTTTTTTTTTTTTTTTTTTTTTTTCTTTTTTTTTCCTTCAAGCAGGATCACCCTTCTCCTTCCTCCCTACCGCCCTCGCTTGGCTGCGCTGGCCGGGAAAATGGGGTTTTATCACCCCGGCTCAGCAGAGTGGACACATGTTTGTGAACCGCTGAGCCCTCCAGCACCGCCAAGATGGGAGCGTGGCTCTCCTGGATGCGACAGGAGAAAAAAACCCAGCCCCAGAGACGCCCGTCGCCTGGAAAAGTTAAGCGTGACTTGGTAAACGTTTGTAAACGCAAATAGAAATGAATAAATAAACCTCAAACCAGGTAGTTTGGGTGTAATAGTTTAGCAGGACTAATTGCAGACAATGGAGCTGAAATGACTTTTCCAATTAGCTGCTGGTTGGAGTTTAGTTGGAGGAACTGTCAGCTCTAGCGATGGGTAATTGCTTTATTGCTCACAAAACTATCATCTATTTAGAACATATGTGCTAATTACTCTGGATGGGCGTCGGAAAAGAGACCATAAATCTATTAGCACTTTAAAAAGTCTAGGGTACTTGTAAGCGACCAAACTCCCTTCCTTGGCGCGTTAAGGGCGAGATTGGCGCCCGGATGATAGTCTTTCCAGAAAATAAAAATAAAATAAACAGATTCAGCCACACGTATGCCAGGGTATATTTGCGACCTCGGGTGGGGTGGGAGGGAATAGTGGTCATCTCCAAGCGAGGAAAGCCTCTTTCTATAGACCAAACTGGTGCAATAAATCACTGTCATAAAACCGATTTTACTCTTTAGCCTTGCACTATTTTTTTTTTTTTTTTGCACAAAGATTATTTTTGAAATCTTTTAATTGGATTACCCTGGAAAATTAATCTCCTTTAGGCTCGCTAAGTTTGTGTACCAAATATTTGGAATTAATTCAGTGCCACAAAAAGCATCCGGGGTGCCTTTTGTTCGAACTAGCTAAGAAAAGGGACAGGTAGGGAAGGTGGCATTTTACCGTACGCGTTCATGTCCCCTCGCAGCTCTCTACGCGTATTCATTGCTGCATAAGTCGCATTGTACCGCATAAAATTGCTATTGTAAGGGAGATAAACAATTGTTTGCTGGGCTGTGCTACGGATCAGGGCTCCAGCGCGGGGCGAGGAGTTTAGGGGG